GAATTCGGAATTCCGTTCCGATTTACATCCCTAGGAAGATTTATCTATAAGGGCAAATCCAAGACTTATTTAGATACATGAACTCATCAATATTTCGAATAATAATAATAATGTTAAGAACACTATACAACCAACCCAACTTGGAAAATTGGTCGGTTATTACAATATTAATAATGTTTTAAGTAACAACCAAAATAAAACAAGTACGAAATTATACAAATAGTCGGACATACAAATAATTAAAAATGTTAAAATTTGTTTTCATTGGTTATTTTTTACCCAATGGAGCCTCTCCTCCGGAGTTAATAACGCAAACATTTCACGAGAGTCGGCATTTATCAGCATTACCACAAGCTTCGCCACGACGTCGGCACCTAAGTCTGGTATGGCCTTTAATATATGATAGCATTCCGTAAAAGAAGGAACATTCGCCACATCGTCAGTCTTCTGTCTCTGATTCCGCAAAGTGGAAGTTTGCATTTCATCGGCACCCCGCTTGCTGCTACCAGTTATCTGCTTCGAATAGGTTAAAGCTGCTCTAGAAGTGTGCTTGATGAATATGTCCGTGCACTTGTCGAAGAGGTCCGGATCTGCCAAGAAGTATTCAAATGCCTTTTTACCAGCCTCCTGAAAAAAAAAAATGAAACAAAATCAGTAAGAAATTTATATATTCAGCAATAAAAGAACACACAAAATCAGCATCCTAAATTACATCGAGGTGGGCTGACATGTCTGGCACGGTACCAATTAGCATCCCGATGTTGTCGTCAATCTCCAAACCATAAGACTCACGACCAACTTTGGCCCTCTTCTTGTAAAATGCCAGCCACGTGCTTCTGATCTTATCAAACTTGTCTTTACATTGTTGTGGTGAAAATGTACTTCCTTTGTCATGGAAAGACTTACTGATCTCTTCCCAACGTAGATGACGAAGGTTTTCTTGTAAACCGGAGTCTTCTACCATTTTGTGGCATAGTTGGAAGAGTGTTGACACATCGGGAATATTCCAATGGGCTGGCATCTACGATAAATAAACAAGACAAAATCAAACTTATGAATAAGATAAGGGAACAGAAGCAAGATTATGTCACATATAA